CAGCCAGTGAGCCACCACTGTCTCCCAGCCATGAGTGGCAGGTGTGTGTTCAATTATTCTGCACCTTTGACGTCGCTCGCTGTTGTCTATTCAACGGACAACAACATTCGAAAGGGGGGATTATTTGTAGCGTCTGGACCAATCAGACACACTATTTTTTTTGTTATATTTAACAAATACTCTGTAATTACTCAACAAACCAACTATGAGGGTCTATGGACCCTTCCCCCGAAATGCATCGAACACCTCAGAAAGGCAGAACAGGCCTCTGGTTCCATGGCAACCAATGCGGATATCACTGGATTTATTGCCCAAAGGAATGCGGGCAGAGAAACTCACAATTCATTTACCCTTAGGAAAGACACACAATGCCCATAAAAAATTTACTCTTCTCTAATTAATTCATGGAAAAAACCTTTCTGCGAATGAACACATCTCCTCAGGACATTGTGTATACCATTACTGTTCTTGTATATTGTCTTTTGAATTGTATACTGTTTTGTGTGTGTTATATGATAGATCACTAGTTAATATAACCCCACCGTTACCACGTTTGGTCTCTTTGAAATTGTCTTCTGATGATCTAAACGAGAGTGTATATTATATGTTGGTACATAGGCAATATATTAGTGTTCTAAGAATCTTTAGTAATTTTGATTCTAGTTCCATATGCAAATTACCATGCTCTCACACAAAGGGTCATAAAACTCCCCAGTATTTCCAACCTCCCGCTCGGAATTTCAGCCTTTCTCATTGGACAAGCCCATCCTGAGAGGTGCGAATCTTCTCAGACCTTAAAAGGCTCACGCACAGTTCCGCCCACGTTTTGTTTTTCTTCTGCTCAGTCTTCTGCTAAAACCTTCTGATTGCGGCCCGTGTGAAGAGCCTGAGGAGCCGGTGCGGGCGTGCCCGGTGGGCTCTAACACATAGCCAGGCAGTCGGCGGTTCTGTTAGATTCTGAGAAGATGAGGATGTGAGCTAGTACCCCTCGAAGGACACCCTAAGTTCGTGCGTGCCAGGCCTCGGCCTTGACTTTACATTCACCAAAGATCCTAGGATCTCAGCTGATGTCTCTCTTAGCTCTTGTTCACTTTCCACTGGGAAGAAACTCCCAATCACCATCGAGTCAGAACATCTTTGGAGTTCATCACTCTTCAAACCCGCAAGAAGGTGATCGCGACTCCTACACCTTCCAAACCATCATCAAGACTTTCATCCGAGACTGCATCCGTACACTCGTTCCAGGCCAAGGCAATGCAAGTATCGTACATTTAACTAAACGAAAC